AAGACCAAGAAGAGTCCAACCAAGAAGAGTCCAGTCAAGAAGGGGAAGAAGTGAGTGAATGGAGTGGAAAAACAGCAGGGAGAACATTCATTTTGGTTGTAAAAGGCCCTCAAAATGACTTCTTTTGTGTAATTGAGGCCTTGCCTTGGCCAGACATGCTTATATAAGTGGCTAGAACTATGTAAGTGGCCTGAACTATTGTATGTGGCCAAAACTTGTGGCAACTTCTCTGAACAACAACTCTGTTTGATGTGGCTTGAATGTAGCTGTCGGGTTCATAAACCCGGGGTCCTTCACGGACCGGCTTCCCAACAGAGGCTCAGCCCAGCAGGCAACGTTGCAAACAACGCGCAACTCATGGGCCGGCCCAAGTACCTAAACAATAGGCCAGAAGGGTGATCCAATCACCGACCGGAAGGCCTGGCCAAGGAGGAACGGCGCCCGTTTCTGACTCCGACCCACCTCTCTGACCGGAGCGCTCGGTTCGGTCCCCAGCCCGCCTCCGGACAGCCTCTTCGACCGGAAGGCCTGGACAAAGCACTACTTTCGACTCTGACCCGCGTCTCTGACTAGGGATGCACTAAACCACTGCTCACTGCTCTTCTCCAACTGGGACTAACCGACCGGGGATGCCTGCTCGGTAAGGACCAGGGAACGGACGAAGAAAGTAAGGCAGGGCGCACAAGTCAAACCGCAATACCAGGGACCGTACCCTGCGCACCTGCTAGGCAGTACTCTGTGACCTCCCTAGCACGACAGAACCCAAGCAGTGTTGTAGGCGCCAACATTTTCCCCTACAGTATTGTGGCCGCCATTAACTCCCATACGGTAAGGCTCCCCCCACATGCCTCTGGGCATCGACGGTGTTGTGGGCGCCGGCATTTACCGTACCAGGTGAACATGGTAAAACCCCTTGCGTGCCTCTAGGCATCAACAGTGTGGCAGGCGCCGACGTCTGCTATACCCAAAGAAGACAACACAACCTCCCACGTGCATTTGACATTCAAACAGTATTGTGGACGCCTACCATCATCCTGTACCCATTGGCGTGGGCAATAAGGCTTAGAAGCATACGTACTCTCTCCCTCTCACTTGTAAGGCCATCCCCTTCATCTATAAAAGGGGATGCGCTCTCTCCCAACATCAAAGTTCATTCAGATTGATTCAGATTCATTAGATCGATCAAGTTCACTAGTACACAACCATAGAACCGTTAGGTTCGAACCACAAGCACACGCTTGAACACTTAGCTCATAGCGGGGCTCCCGTCACTCTCGGCCCTTCAGACCAGAGTCTGACCGGACCTCTTGTACCCCCCATCTTTCTCCTTCTCGTTTGTAACCTCACTACAAACTTCGAGCATCTGGGCTTAGAAATAAAGTCACCGACCGACTCAAACTGGACGTAGGGCATGTTGCCTAAACCAGTATAAACCCTGTGTCATTGAGTGCTAGGCCACCTCTGATCACAACGTACGACAAAACTATAAATATTTACTTGTTGGTCACTTTCTGCACCGACAGTAGCATTGCTGGTTGGTTTATGGTTAATGTGTTCCATCTGTTATGTTGAATCTGTCATGATCTATCTTGTGTTTGTTACCGAGTTAGGCCTGTGATCCACTTCAGTTGCTTTAGGTTTATTTTACCATCTCTGTGTCACGTAGGTTGTGGGCTTCAACTTTCGTTTTGCAATGTAATTATACTCTTAGTTGATCTTTACATTGGTGAATCATATCACTTGCTGGTTGATAATTTATGATAGACAATCAATCCCACAAACATTGTGCCCTTGATTTGTTTGCTTATTACCCAAGAAATAGTTGTCAGTTGTATCTTCTGAGAATAATCCTTCCTGCCAACAGATGCTTTGACTTTAGTTGATAATTAAATGTACTCATCTACGTCTAATGTCTCCATGGGTATAATTAATGCTTTTCTCATGTATTTCATACTGGCAAAACTACTCTCAGGACATTGAAACACAATTTACACATTGTCACATTGAAACACAATTTTCATTTCCATACATTGTCACATTGAAACACAACTTTCATTTTCCATACATTGTCACTTCATTGCAACATACATCACAACAGATCCAAAAACAACAGATATAATACACACAATGAACATGTTCATCTTCCAAATCAATGTCTCCATCTTGTGCTCCAAGTCTTTCCTATTGTTGTCGGGACCATTTGGACTGTCAACTAAAACATCTTCATGATCCACCAACTCTGGCCAGTTGGAGGGGCGAACCTGGATGATGCCCTTCTCCTTCAGCTGCTCGAAGTACTGCTTCTCAAATCTATAGTACCCACACAGCTTGGGAAACTTCAAAAAAACCCAAAGTTAGAACCCTAACTGTGACAATGGGGGATGGGCAGTACACAGAACTCACCCCGTTCCTCGCACACTTGAAGTACAGACGCCCGTGGTTATCACCATCCTTCTTGGTTCACCCCCTCCACCACCCGAGCACGCCCGCAGTCCGGGCAAGGGATCAACGGGAAGCCGCTCAACTCACCTACTGGATCCACACAGACGGAGGCGATGCTGGAGCTCCGGGCACCTTGGACCTGGCTCCTCGCCCTTGCAGATGACTCGGCGTAATGGGACAGGGACATGTCTCGCGGTGGGGGCGGCATTGTGCGCGGCGGCGGCGGTGGCGGCTGGCGGGCATCGCGCGCGGACCAGAGAAAGGAGAAAGGGGAGCAGATGGGAGAGAGTGGAGTGGGCCGCGGGGTAATACAGACGCCAGGGGCAGGGCGGTCATTTTACATCGGCATGCTGACTTGGATCCGAGCTGGACAGCGGACCTGGCGTGCCACGTGAGCAAAAGTGGCAAATGTGTATCGTTTTTCTCTCTCCGATGCTAAAAACATATCGCCAAATTTAAATATGCTATCTCAAGAGTCGTCATTGGTAATAATGGTAAAAAGTTAAATATCCCCCTTCTGGCGACGCGGTCGTGGGAATTGCCTCCGAATTACAGCATTTGGGGAGCGTGACTCACTTGTTTTCGTTAGAATCAGTGCCAAAGCAGTCCCAAACAGACTCATTGTTCCCCTAATCAATCTCATGCCTATCTTATCGAGGTCCCTCTGGAACACACGCATTTCATAGAAAATAAATAGTATATTAACTCAAAGGATTCCGTCCAACTTTATAAAAAAAACACAAAATCTAGAAAAAAAAAGAGAGTCTAGCATTAGCCCCTCGATAAATTCAGGCAAGAAAAAGATACAAAACAATGATATCGACTTTAGGTGCTTTATCAAAGGACTACAATTTTCATGACAAAGGTATCACAAATCTAGAACTCAACATTGCTAGTTGGATTTTTTTTTTTGGTTGTGTAAGGCGTCCATCCGGTTCGAGTCTCTAACTTAGTCAGCCTGACCGACTGCCTTTTTTCTCAGGTTGTTGCTGCATGCTACGGCTTCTGCAGTGTGTTGGTTCACTGTTATGCCGCTGCTGCAGCCGCTAGATGAAGCCATGAAGGGCAGCCGCTAGATTTTTGTGTGCTTGCACTTACGGCTAATATTCTTTCGCCCGTTATAAGGCAAAATGTGTGACCTCACCGGTCTCAAGATGCGCTAACCCAGCCTTTCAAATGGTCTATCGGGATAATTAAGGTACACGTCGTGTATATGAGCATATGCGCGTGTACGGTGTGTTTTGAAAAAGTAGTGTCACGCGGCATATAAGAGCATCTCTAGTATTCTTTTTTGAATTCACTCTATAAATCATCATTTAGAAAATTATTTGAATAAAATCTTTTCACCTTTTAATAGATTCTCTATATTTTAGTGTGTACTTTAGAAAGCCAACACTGCTCTCCTTTGGTTAGTGAGAAAATAGAAAATAGAGGATGACAATATTTCGAGATCTAATTAAAAAGCTATCGAATTTTTTTTTTCTCATCAAAACCTCTGTTCGTATTGGAGTTGCTGTAATATCTCATCCAAAAGTTGCTACAACCCTAGCAAGATCTACAGTTAACTAGTTGTGGCTTTATTGGTTGCTAAGGTAATATGTTTTTAGTTAAGTTTAAGCGTAAGTCACGTTTTCAAATACTATATATCAGAATCATCTTCAAAATCAAAGCAGCGCACATGCATCAAACTTGGGAAAAGTCAACTTAGTAAATGAAGATAAGTAAACTGGAAGATGCACAACATAGGTTATACATGTATCCGTATCACACAAGCGCTCGTGGCCTAATGGATAAGGCATTTGACTTCTAATCAAAGGATTGTGGGTTCGAGTCCCACCGAGCGTGTTGCTTTTTTATGTTTTTCTTTTTTTGGCCCTCTGCTTCTAACGCCCTCACCCAGTCACCCTACTCTGTTTCTTCGAAATTCGTGCGGCAGCTTAGCTTTTTGAATCCATACATAAACAAATTTGTAAGGAACTCATTCTTTTTTTCATTCTATCTAATTCTGACGAGAACAGGGCTACATATGATTCGACGAAGATATATCATTCCAAATCTTTATAGACCTGAAATTTCTCTTTAAGCAACACTGACAGGTCACACTCAATCAGAATCTGGCTGAAAAACAAAATCATTTCAGGTTGGAGCTGGAAAGACGGTGAAGATAAAATTGACAGCGACAGTAGTGGTTGTAGCGACACTGACAATACCAAAATCTGGTGACCAAATTTTATCATCATCGTCAATCAATACAAACACAGAAAAAGAAAGCAAAGATGCTACTAGTATGTATGAGCAAAAAGAATTGGCAACTACACCAACTCTTACATCCATTTCTCCTCAACTGAACTATTCGGTAGGAGCCCCGTCCTGTCATCTCTGATGATCGATGGATTCTGAAACTGAAACGGCTGTTAGATCGATCAGATCAGATGTGTATATCTTGTTGGTTTATTCTTTCCTTCTCTATTACTAATATTAATATCATCGACGATAATGACATGACCAAGAAGAAGAAGAGCTACAGCAGCATCTCCATGCAGCAGCAGCAGCAGCAGCTATATCTTGTCGCCTTGCTTCTCGGCGGTGAGCGGCATCCCAAGCGGCCTCTGGGCGTACGCGGGCCGCCGCCGCCGGTCGCCACGGCGGCCTGATGCTGCGAGATGAGGGTGCCTGACGTAGCTGTAGAAGGTGCAGCCGACGAGCGTGACGGCGCAGCCGACGGCGTTCATGCCGAGATAAGGTTCCGGAAGATCATCCACGACACCAGCACCGCCACGGCCACCTTGAGGTTGCCGGCCACGTTGAACGTCACGGCCGTCGTCGAGTGGATCACGTAGAAGATGGAGAAGTTGAGGCAGAAGGCCAGCACCCCCGACGTGACGATGATCGCCAGCGCTGGCCCCACCGACTCGCATGTGTAGAGGCCAGCTCACCACGCCGCTGCCCTCCAGCACCATGGCCGGCACTGACAGGATCATCGTCGCAAAGGGAGCCATGTAGTACACCGTGTTGATGCTGCACACAGTCACACATACATACAAAACATTTTAACCTTTTATTCTATCCATGGAAACTCAATCAAGCAGTAAATATAAATCAAGATCATATCTTTTACTTACAATAACCTATACTATACCTGTCGAATTTGTATCCATGGAGCAGCGACTCTGCCAAGATGGTCTTTGTGGATGTCGCCAGGCAGCCCACCATGGCGGCGCAGAAGCCAAACGTGTTGAAAGCTCAGCTCCGTTACAGAAGTCAGAAGAATGCCTCCCACAATAGGGACCAAAGAAGCCCAGATGCGCCATTCGAAGTATTTCCTCCACACCAACCACTGAAGAATCACTGCATCTCGTCTCAATGGAAGAGATTGCTTTGGTCAGAAACTATCATCATTCTGCAGAACTGCAGAAGGGAAAATATAGGATGACAAGATCGTCATATATAAAAGAAAAGAAACTAACCTGTGGTTGCAGGGGTGAAAGACTTTATGGTCTGCATGAAGGAGACTGGGATGTACCGCAGGCTCACATTCCCCCAGCACAATGTTTATGCAGAACACAGAATGACATTGGGAATATCCTTCTCCATAGATCCTCAGAGGCAACCTCAATCAGCGGCTTTGTTTTTAGAACTTTGATTGCGATGTAGGCTCCGATGAAGAGCATATGAAGTGGACGCACGACACCGTCACAGAGGAACTTGAACTCCAGTTTCTGCAAAATTTGGCCTCAAGATCATCAAGTCCATGCCTTTGTGCCAAGCAAGCGAGTAATGGCAACTACTAGTATCATTAACTTTCCCTTTCCAACATCAGAGCAACAAAAGATAAGAAAGGGAGAAACAGAAAACTTCTTCTTTAAGGGTCTCTCTGAAAGAGAGCACATGTTAGCAGAGGGGTTTCTTAAAGAACACAACAAAGCAGATTTCTACTACTACTTTCTAGGTATATATATTTACAATTGTAAAGTAGTTCACAAGACAAATCATCTCATAAATACAGAATCAATTAATCCATCTCATTACCAAGCCAGCATGTCAAGTCAAGAAATAAGCAAAATATTTCAAGAGAGCTCCTCCTCAATGAAACAACCTCAGGAATTAGAAGCTTCAAGGAAATGTTTGGATCCTAAATATCAATCCTCAGATTAGATTTAGATAACATGGAACTAGCAACCAAACATGGCAGAGCATTTGTTACTAAGGCCGGCGAAGTCAAGATGATCCTATACGGTGACACTCCATCAAATCCATAGTCAGCTTGACAGAAAAAAGAACCTTGCTGCTCATGTAACTTTAAGTA